TGTCTGTTCTCAACACAGCAGCCAGAGTGGGCCTATTAAAAGCTAAGTGGGATCATAGAAATCCTCTGCTCCAACCCTCCCATACCCCATGAGGTCCTACACAGTCTGGCTTCTACTCCCCTCTGGCCTCCTCGCCAGCCACACTGGCCTCTGGCCGTTCCTGGAACACACCAGACTCGCTCTTGCCCCAGGACCTTTGCGCCTGCTGCTTCCTTGCTGACCTGCTTGCCCAAGATTCCGCATGACTAGCGCCCCGCCTACTCGGAATCTTTCTCAGATGTCCCCTTATCAGGAGTGCCTTCCTGAACACCTTGTTTAAAATTGCAGCCCTCGCCTCTCAGGCCCCAGCCCTCTTTCCTGCTTTACTCTCCTCAAATGCCCTTGTTTATTTGTTGATTGTCTGTTACCTCCCCTCATTAGAGTGTAAGCACCCCGAGGGCAGGCTTAATGTCTGTTTCATTCATGTGGATTTCCAGGGCCTGAAACAGTGCCCTGGTGGTACAACGGTTAAGTGCTTGGCTGCTAACCGAAAGGTTGGCGCTTTGAACCCACCCAGTGGCTCCACAGGAGAAAGACCTAGATATCCACTCCTATGTATTACAGCCCTAGATTACAGCCTAGGAAACCATACTATGGGCAGTTCTACTCTGTCACATGGGGTTGCTATGAGTTGAAAATGGGCTTGATGGCACCAACAATAACAACAAAACAGTGCCTGATGTGTGGCAGATGCTGAATGAATGGATAGGATCAAGGCGAAGAGAGATTATGTAGCTTAAGCTAGTAAGTGGCTGAGCTGGCATTTCTTCCATGACACCAAACTGCAGAGAATTTTATAGGGCAGGGGCGAGTGGTGGTGCCAGGATTTGAACCTAGGTCTATGTGGCTTTAAGTTCAGGGTGGGAGAGGGAAGCGGTCAAGGAGGGCAGGAGGCTGGAGGAGAAAGTGCTCACAGCCTGGGCCACAGGGAGGGGGCAGGGCCAGGAGGGCTCCAGTGAGGAGAAAGGAGCAATGTGGCCTCAGAGTTGGTGCACTTGGCAGTGACCAGGAAATTGCTATGGGATTTTGAGCAAGTCTGTTCACCACTCCAGGGCCTCAGCGTCCTCGGGGGTAGAGGGAGGGGCTGGAATGGGTGAAGCGTGAGTGCCTTCCTTTCTACCTTTCTGGGTGCACAGAGGCCTAGGGCAGGTGCCCCGTGTCCCGCAGGTCTCAGGCAGTCTGGCTCCTCCCCCAGTGTCACCCGCTGTCTGGCACCAGCAGGAAGCGCTGGGCCGGCTGGCGTGAGCTCAGGAGGAAGTGATGGGCGGCTGGCTGAGAGCTTTACAGGTTTACCTGGGCAGCGGGGCAGGAGGGAAAGCCTGGCTGAGAGTCTGCCTGCCCCTACTCCGCACCTCCTGAGGGGGACTCTGCTCCTTTAGTGCCCCCGCACCCCCACCAGGCCAGCATCCTTGGATGCCCATCTCCGGCTCCCCCTGGCACCAGTTGCATGGGGACAGCCCCAGATGGCTCCCTGGCCCGGGGACAAAGGCCACACTGTGCCCGACCCTGGGCTGGCCTCAGGCTGGGTCACACTGAGCCCTTCTGTCTGCAGTTGGGGGTGACAGGCAGACGGCACCAAGGTGACTGGCCTTTTTCCTGACTCCCTTCCCCCAAGACCCCCCAAATCTGAGGAGCTGACTCTCCCAGTGGAAAGTGACAGAAGGCATCTTGTGTCTTGAGCGAGGGAACAACAGAGCATTCACTGCCCAGGCTGCCCTGTCACACCCAAGACCCTGCTGGGTTCAATGCCCCGATTGTCCCCAGCAGAGAGGCGTCCAGTCCCTGCTGTGGCCACCACCCCCAGCCGCTTGGTCCCCTGTCACCATCAGGAAGTCCATCCCTACATCTGATCTCCATCCTGCCTGCTACAGTGACAACCACTTCCTCTTGGCCCTTCTGGGAGGTGGGTGGAGAGCAGCTGGTCCCCGTCCCTCTGCGTCCCTTGGCCCCATGCTCCTGCTCTGGTCAGCTGCCCCGCAGTCTTCCCTCCCTCTGGCTGCCTGCCCCACCCCCACCCCAGGAGCTCCTTGCTCCTCACTGACTCTTCAGAAGAGCAGGTGTGATTCAGGGCCGGGTCTCCTTTGTCTCTCAGAAATTGGGGTTCTTCCCAGGAGGTTTGTAGTCAGCTCCCCTCCTCCCTCCGCCCTCCCCCACGGTGAGAGCAAGGGCAGGAGATTTACGGCCTCTACTGGTGGGTTCCCGAGCCACAAACCCAGAGGCCATCCCATAAATCCCAGGGTGCAGGATAGCTTTATGTGGAAGCCCTGTTTTTAGAAGGGGGCGTGGCTGACCCCTCTGGGAAAAGCTCAGGCGTTGTCCCCCTCTCCCGTGCCCCCCAAAACTAGAATGCTCATGGCCGAGCCTGGGGGCGTCAGTGTGTGCATAAATGTGCTGTTTGAGGTGGGGGGAGAGGCATTTCCTTCCCTTCTTTGGTGGGGGGTGGCTCCCAGTCCACTCAGCTTGTTCTCTCCCCGCCCCGTTCCCTCCCTAGCTCTGAGGAGCCTCCACTTCGGCCCAGTAACCGGGAGATGGGCAGTCTGGATCTGGAGACCTGGGCAGAGTGTCATCCCTTACCCGGACCTCCGGTGCATCTCAGCCGTGGCTCTGTGCCCACATCATTGGGGACACTCTTAAAAAATGCATGCTCCCAGGCACCATCCTCAGAATCTCGGTCCCAGCATCTGAGGGAGAGGCCCAGGAATCTGGATTTTTTTTACAACACCCCCACCCCAGTGATTCTGACCAAGTTTGGAAACAATTCATCTGTATAATGGGGACATCTCTGCTCTCCTGTCATGCTGTGAAATGAATCACCCAGGGAGTATATGGATCCCCTTGGGTTGGACAGAGAGTGTGAGGCAGGGTGGCTGCCCCCTGGGAGGCTCCTGTCTCAGAGTCCTGCAGATGGCTGGTCTGAGACCTTGCCCAGAGCCTGGTGGAGCAGCTGGAGTTGGCTGGCAGGAATGAGTTTAGGGATGAAGAATCAGGGAGGCTGGTGAGCTTTGCCAAGCAAGCTGGAAGAGGAGTGGTCAGCTACCCTCTCATCAACCTGGAAGGGCGCCTCAAAGGAGGTGCCACCAGACCTGCGTTCCTTGAGAATAAACTGAAAAACCAGTTGCCATCAAGTCAACTCTGACTCATGGTGTCCCGACGTCTGTCCGAGTAGAACTGTGCTCCATAGGCTTTTCAATGGCTGTAATCTTATGAAAGTAGATCACCAGGCCTTTCTTCCGTGGCACTGCTGCCTCTAATCTAACCTTTTGGTTAGCAGCCAAGCATGGTAACCGTTTGCATCACCTAGGGACTCCTCCTTGAGAATAGGGACCATGTTGTACTCTCCTCTGTAACCGCAGTGCCTAGCACAGTGCCTGGCACATAGAAGGTGTTTGCTGCACTGAACTGAGTGAGGCTTTAGGACCCACAGGCAGATGGCCTCTTATCTGAGGGGCGCCAGCCTGAGGACAGACAGACAGCCTGGCTCGACCTCATCCCTGGCCTCTGGGGAGCCAGAGGGCCACACCTTAGCTGTCTGAGGGCAGCCAGGAGCCTGCAGGCCAGGGAAAGGGACCCCCCCACGAGGCTGGCTGAGGACAGAAGGATGTGATCACTGAGCAAAGCAAACATGTTACTGACCCATAATCCCTTAAACCAGGAGGATCCAGGCAGGGCCTGGTTGCCTTGGCAACTGGGTGCTGGCCAGTGGCAGGGCCAACAGCATCCTCGGGAGTGGGCTGTGCCTGGTGCGTGGGGAAAAGATGGGAGCGGGTGCAGGGTGGCCCCCTCCCATCACAGGCTCCTGGAGCCTTGTTGGCAGGCGTGGGTGGGGGCCCTAGGAGGCCTCTTGGTCCACGCCCCATAGCAGCTGAGGGTGGTGGGACAGAGAGGATGGGGGGTGGCTGCAGTGGGAGCTAAGGAAATCACAGGGTGGGGGGTGGGGGTGCGGCAGGACAGCCCTGCTCTGGGTTTTCAGACCAGGAGGGAGAAGGAAGGTCTGTGGGAAGGTACAGCAGCCTCACTGGGGGGCCACAGCGTGTCCTCCCGCTCAGAGGGCATCAGAAGCCAGCAGAGAGGGAACCCCTCTGGCTGGGGAAGAGGCCCTGAGGGTCAGCAGAGCAGAGAGGGTGAATCCCTGCCCCCTTTTGGTCTTCCCAAGGACAGCGGCCCGCTCAAGGGGTTCTAGAAGGGGAGAGGACAGCACACTCCTGCATCCCCTTCCCTAGGGCCCTCTCTGTTTCTGGCAAACTTCTGTGTTTGCCCTGAGACTCCAGCTGCTTCTGACCTCCCATATTTCAGCCAGAGAGATGGGCTGGGCCAGCTCATTCCACACTTCCCTCTCTCGTCCATTTCCTCTTTTTTCCTTTCTCCTGGGGACCCAGGACAAGCCAGAGAGGACCCATTCTGCGTCAGTGTCAGGGTGAAATGGGGTTTGTCCTGAGGGTGTGGGCCAGGTGGATGGATATTCAGCTCACAGGCACCAGGAAGGCATCCTGGCGCTAACATACTGAAGCTCTTACCCACAGTTGGTGGAGCCGCTGGCCTGAGGACCACGCTCTCTCTCGTGCCCTCCCTGCTGCACTGGCCCTTCCTCCACAATCTCCAGACATCTGGCAGCTAAAGGGTTAACATGGGGGGAGGGAGTAGTAAAGGGGAGTGAGGCCTGCAGGATCCTGTCTGCACATCATACCCACCTGTGCTGTACTGGTCAATGTATATTGTGACTATCTCCCCAGAGGAAGGGACTTGTGTAGGGACAGATTCAGAGGAGGGGCAGGGTTAGGTGACTACTCTCAGGGAGCCCAAGGTTTGAGGACACAGCCCTGTCCCCTGCAACAAGGCCTCAGCCCGCCAAGCTTCCCAGCTTGATGAGCACAAGGCCTTGAGTCCACGGTGGTGGGGCCCAGACCCTGCTGCCCCGGCCTTCTCACCTGCTCTCACTTCTCCGTCTCAGAACCTGGGCTCTCATGACGATGAACAAGATGAAGAACTTTAAGCGCCGTTTCTCCCTGTCAGTTCCCCGCACGGAGACCATCGAGGAATCTTTGGCTGAATTCACGGAACACTTCAATCAGCTCCACAACAGGCGGAATGAGGGTGAGCGGCCTGGGACCCTCCCCGAGCTGTCTGCCTCTCCCTCCCGAGTTCCCTCAGAGCCCCCTTTCCCTCCCTGGCTGATGCCGGCCCTTGGGGGCTCCTGGTTGCTGAAGGGGAAGGACAGAGTGGGGGAGTAGACTTCCCTTCTCTCCCTTGGGGGCAGGGAGGGGAGCTGATGCCTCTCCTTCTCAGACCTGCAGCTCAGTCCTCTTGGCAGAGATCCGCAGCCGGAGTCCAGTAGCTTCTCCCCCACAGACAGTGGGGAGGGCCCCGGGCCACTGTCCCCTGGCGTGCAGTACCGGCGGCAGAACCAGCGCCGCTTCTCCATGGAGGTGAGTGTGAGTGTGACAGTGCATATCCACAGATGTGTGCACAGGAGGGTGTTTGCCTTGGAGCCAGACGTCATGGGTTCAAAGCCCAGCTCTGCCATGGATCGTCTGTGTGACCTTGAGCAAGTTACTTAACCTCTGAGCACCACAGTTTCCTTATCTTTAAAATGGTTACCAGGGGAATTAAATGAGTTAATCTATGCAAGTGCTTAGAACATTCCAAACACATAGCAATTTAATATTGTTATTATTATTACCCACATACAGAAAAGAAAAAAGAAAACAGTTGCATTCCAACTCATGGCAACCCCCATGTGTCAGAGTAGAACTGTGCTCCACAGGGTTTTCAATGGCTGTGATCTTTTCAAAGTATATCGCCAGGCCTTTCTTCTGAGGCATCTCTAGGTGGATTCGAACCTCCAACCTGTCAGTTAGTAGCCGAATGCTTAACTACTTGTACCACCCAGGTACTGCCCATATCTATACGTATACCCGTGTATGGGAAAAATGTGCTTACAGAATCACAGTGTCTATAGGAGCCTCGTTTTATAGATGGGGATGCTGAGGCCCAGAGAGGGGGAGGGACCCCCCAAGGTCACACAGCAGCCCCTGGGTGTTCACATATACGGTTCTGAGCACATCTTGGAAGTGGCTGTGAGCTTGGGGTCACAGCCTGTGTTGTGGCCCTGCTGCTGCCCAGGGTGAGAGACAAGGGCCCTGTAGCCTTCTCTGCCCTGGAGCAAGCACCCGTCTCATCTTGGTCCCTGCAGGACATCAGCAAGAGGCTCTCTCTACCCATGGACATCCGCCTGCCCCAGGAGTTCCTGCAGAAGCTACAGCTGGAAAACCCAGACCTGCCCAAGCCGCTCAGCCGCATGTCCCGCCGCGCTTCCCTGGTGAGTCCCATGACAAACAAGGGCCACCAGGGTGGGGCACCCTCTCCCCAGCATGGACACAGCAGTCCTGGCGTCACCTGTCCCAGCTGAGACCTGCAGCGGTTTCCAGGATGGTTCCTGGGCCTCTGGCGCCACCTGCTGGCCAGAGTGGATTCAGCTAGTACATCCTTTTTGCGCAACATCCATTCCCTAGCAGGGTTCCACTGGGGCCCCAGCTACACTCCAAGCCCCCTCTGAGCCCCAGGACCTCCACCAGGGTAAGATCGATACACCAGCTGGCACGTGCTTCCCAGTCCTGGCTGCCTGTCAGATTTGCCTGGGGGCATCTTACAAACACGGACTTCTGGGCCTCCTTCCAATTACCTGCAGAATCAGACTGGGTGGCAGGGCCCAGGGATCTGTATTGTTAAGGGTCGGGTACCACTAAGCTAGAGGACGTGTGCTGATGAGAGAGACTGTCAGGAGGTGGGTTCTGAGCCAGACACAAGCTACAATGGAGAAAAGGACACCTGTCGTCAGGAGCTTGTTGTCTGGGCAAGACAGACAGACAGATGACCAAGATGTGCAGCAATCCCAGGAGCCACAGCTCTGAGCTCCACACCCTCAGCTGTCACTGGAGGAAGAAGCTCAGGGCTGGAAGGGGCTTACACTCCTGAGGGCTTCTTCCTTTATCACAGGGATGAGGGGAAGAGGGGACGGGGAAGAGTCTGTGCCTTCCCCCAGCCCTGCTAGCCTCAGCTGTTCCCTCTCCACATGGGGTCTCACTCCTCTCCTCAGAGGCTGGGGGTCGAGGTGGGGAGTGCGGTGGCGTATGTAGGGCTGGGGGCCTTCATGCTCACAGGACCCTACGTCTCTCCCTCTCAGTCAGACATCGGCTTTGGGAAACTGGAAACATACGTGAAACTGGACAAACTGGGGGAGGTAAGAGGCTGGGCATGTCTTCTCGGGGCAGCCAGGCAGGATGGCTGCGAGGAGGCTCAGGGTCTCCACCAGCCCTGTCTGCTCTCCCGTTCGCTGCCCCTGCCTGTGCACAGAGGGGTACGACCTTGGCCCTGCAGTCAGCCCACCTCTGCAGGTGCTGAGGTGACCCCGGTCCTGGAGGAGGGCACGAGGCTGGAGTGGGCCACCGGCTCTGGCAGAATCCAGTCTTTTTCTGCAAGTACTTCTTGGCCTCGGTTCAAATCCAAGCTCCGCTATTTACTAGCTCTGTGGCCTTGGGCCAGTTGTGTGACCTCACTCTGTCCCTTGTTTTCTTCCTCTGTCCAATAGAGATGATAGCTGTTATACCTCATAGGGCTGTGAGGATGAAATAAGTTAATATAATAAGTTTATCGCAGTCCCTGGGTGGAGCAAATGGTTAACATGCATGACTGCTCACTGAAAGGTTGGAGGTTTGAGTCCACCTGTGGCATCTTGGAAGGAAGGCCTGGTGATCTACTTCTGAAAAATTAGCTTTTGAAAGCCCTAGGGAGCACAGTTCTACTCTGACACACATGGGGGCACCATGAGTCGGCATCAACTTGATGGCAACTTGTTAATACGTTTATATATAGCGCTTAGACAAGTGTGGCGCATAAAAAGTATCTATTAGCTGTAACTGTTGTTACTGTGTCAGGCTTTGTATTAGAGGCCAGAGGTAGGGGGAGGTTTACAAAGAGAAGGAAGACACAGCCCTTCCCTTCAGGGAACCCAGAGGAGACCCCCACATCACCATGATATCAGGAGAACAAGATGAGTGTTGTAACAGGGCCCCCGGCACCCTGGGAGGCAAAGGAAGGCAGGTCATCCTGACTGTGCAGGAGTTAGGAAGGGCTTCACAGAGGAGGGGGCGCGGGAGGAAAAGGAGAAGGGGAGGGACACAGGCTGAAGCTGCAGCCCGCGCAAAGGCACAGAGGGGAGAAAGTGGTGGGCAGAGGAGACCAGGACCTGAACCAGGCCTGAGGCTGATGGGGTCCTTGTTTCCAGGGCACTTACGCCACCGTCTTCAAAGGGCGCAGCAAACTGACAGAGAACCTGGTGGCCCTGAAGGAGATCCGGTTGGAGCATGAGGAGGGGGCGCCCTGCACTGCCATCCGAGAGGGTATACCACCCTAGGGTCCTGCACCTCTCGGGGGCTTCTGGGAGCACCCTGCCCCAGGGCACTGGGGAGGAGGGGTCAGTGCCTGAGCCCTCAGGGAGCCTGGGAGCGGAGGGTCATTTATGGAGTAGGGACTTTTGGGGCCAATTCCAGGAAGAGAGGGTATAGGGGCACGTGAGGCCCCAGGGACCCAGGTGGACCTGTCTCCCCGCAGTGTCTCTGCTGAAGAACCTGAAGCACGCCAACATCGTGACCCTGCACGACCTCATCCACACGGAACGGTCGCTCACCCTGGTGTTTGAGTACCTGGTGAGTTGGGCTGGGGCTGGCAGGCTGTCCCTTTGTTGGGGGCATCCAGGTCTGGTTCTGGAGTCAGGTTCTCAGATGCCCCCGTGCAGGGGTGGGGCAAGGGCTTGGGCTTGGGGACAGCTTGGAGCTAAAGGCCTGTTGCCAAGCCCCTTCCGACGCCTGTCCCACTCCTGGGCTCCGGCCCTGCCCTGTGAGGGCCTTCCTCCTCAACCTGAGTCTTGGCTTCTGGCCAGGGGTCAGGACAGGCTCTGTGTTCCAGGACAGTGACCTGAAGCAGTATCTGGACCACTGCGGGAACCTCATGAGCATGCACAATGTCAAGGTGAGGACCTCTGGAGGGGGCCCCCACCCATCTTGGCACCCACCTGTCCTGAAGCCCAGCATGGGAACCCCCTCTTGCCACCAGGGCCTGGGCTGCTGTGGTTCATCGCAGGCAGGAGGGAAAGGCTCTGGCCTTCAGTGAGTGCCTTCCCCACCTGCATGTACATAGACACGCTCTCTGCCACCACCAGCTGTTGATGTAAAGCCTCCCATCTCTGTCTCTGAGCATCAGTTTCCCCATCTGTCAAATGGGCTCGTGAGCTACCTGCCAGAATGAAGGGAGGTTTCCAGGGAAGCTCAGGGGAAAGAATGACGTCTTCTGTGTTTATTGAAGAGCACATACATCTCCACATGGGGGGGCGGGGGAGGGCTTCCTGACCAACTGCACCGCCCCCACAGCTCCCTGGCCACAGAGCGCTCTGGCTCCCCGCCCCATGGCTGTTGCCCTCCCCCTGGATGGGATTCCTGGTGTGGGTGGGGGCCAGGATGGGCTGCAGGGTGGGTAGGAGAACCAGGTAGCTTGTCCAGGGCTGGCACTGACTTCTCCCCACGCCTCCGGCCCCACCCCCACCCTGGGTCCCAGCCATGGGACTGAGGCTCAGGGCCGCCCAGAGGGGAAGCACTTCCACCGTTCATCGCTCACCTTTTTCTTCCCCTCCCAGATTTTCATGTTCCAGCTGCTTCGGGGCCTTGCCTACTGCCACCGCCGTAAGATCCTACACCGGGACCTGAAACCCCAGAACTTGCTCATCAACGAGAGGGGGGAACTGAAGCTGGCCGACTTCGGTGAGGGCCGGGAGCCCACCAGGGCTGGGGTAGGGGTCTGACACAGCCAGGTGTACAGTCTCCCCAGAGCGTGGGTGCAGTGGAGCCAGCCTTAGAGGCTGAGCCAGCAGCACCTGGGGTCAGAGGTTCAGTGGCACATCTGTCCCCAGGACTGGCCCGGGCCAAGTCAGTGCCCACAAAGACCTACTCCAATGAGGTGGTGACCCTGTGGTACAGGCCTCCTGATGTGCTGCTGGGCTCCACAGAGTACTCCACCCCCATCGATATGTGGTGAGTGGGCGCCCCATGGGCAAGGGGATGGGTGGGTTCTCGCCACACCTCCAGACTCCCTTCTGCTGCCCCGTAGGCCTCTGGGAAGAACTACCTAACCTCCTTTGACTAAAAACCATGTGGATATTAAAAAATAGATTAAGCTCCAAGGGTAGCTTCTCATGTGTTCCCCCAGGGGCATGTGGGGGTTACCAGAGCGTCCAGGGGCCACACAGTAAACATGATGAATCCTCCCCAAGGGTAAGTTCTACTGGCAGTTTTGCAAGGGATGCATTATTATTATTATTATTATTGTTAAGAGAAACACATGCAATTTGTTGTAAGATGAACAATCAGCCCAATTTTAAAGCTAAAACAGTTTCCAGTAAAGGGCCACATGTCTGGCACCCTGAGGTTCCCTGGAGAGTGGGTTTATTATGTATCTCTTCCAGTGGGGTACACAATGGAAAATATAGACAGAAGAACTGCCGTGTGGGTACTGGTCATGCAGACCCAGACCTCACAGAGCCCAAGCTCCCAGAGCTCAGGGAAGCCCCCATGTAGAGGCTGTGGAGGGGTGGCTGGACTGCACTGGGCACCCAGCCCACAGTCATCACCTCACCCGTGGCCGGGCCTCCTGGTACCCTGGTGGTGCAGCTCTAGTAACGGGGTGCGAGGAGGCCACGCCTGACACCGCCCCTACTCGCTGCTTCCCGCAGGGGCGTGGGCTGCATCCACTACGAGATGGCCACAGGAAGGCCCCTTTTCCCAGGCTCCACGGTCAAGGAGGAGCTGCACCTCATCTTCCGCCTCCTCGGTCAGTCTCCTGCCACGCCCTTCAATTCACCACCAGGGGGCGCTAGAGCTCCGTCCAGCTCTGGCCCGTGAAGGGTCTGGGAAGAGCAAGCCTGGAACAGGACGGGGACTCCAGTGGCCTTGCCCAGTCTCCGCTCCCACCTCCTACACTGCACCCCCTCCAAGTCGGCCTGGCCCTGTCCCTCACCCACGCCCTCCCACCTGCTCTCCTCCCCCAGGGACTCCTACAGAAGAGACCTGGCCAGGTGTGACGGCCCTCTCAGAGTTCCGAACCTACAACTTTCCCCAGTACCTCCCCCAGCCGCTCATCAGCCACGCACCCAGGTATCATCAGCCACGCTCCCAAGTAGCCCCTGCTTCCCACACTGCCCCTCATGCTTCTGGTCCTGACTTTCCCTCCAGGAGGGGCAAGGGGCCGCACCTTCACGCTCCCCACCCCCACACAAGAAGGCCTGTGTCAGCTCCCTCCTCTTGCAGGTTGGACACTGATGGCATCAACCTCCTCACCAGCCTCCTCCTGGTGAGTGTCCACCCAGCAGGGCCCAGGGACAGGCAGCCAAGTGGAGCAGAAAGGCCACTTCATGCTCTCAAGCTCACAGTCTTTGTAGCATTCCCCCTGCACTGTCCCACCACCAGGGTCCAAGGGGAGTGCTTGTCTCCCTACACAGACTTCAGCTGCTCTGAACTCAAAGCCCCGCTCAAACCCATTCATAGCCGGGGGGCTTTGGGACAGTTCCAGGACTTCCATGCCTCCATTTCATCAACAGTAAAATAGAATGAATAATGCATATTTCATAAGATGGCTGGGAGGATAAGTTATGATGGAACACATGGAGAGCAGGGCCTGCATTGAAGTAAGCACACTAAAGAGTAGTTGCTGGTATGAAATATTAACAGCACTGACATTAGTGTTACCATCCCGGTTGCTTTAGCATCTGTATTTCCATCCCAAGAGCACGTCACTCTCCCCAAATCCCATTTCTGGTTCCTCTTGGTATCTGGAGACCTGGGAGCCTGGGCTTTAAGACTGCCTGGGGCTGGATGGGAGGAAGGGGGCTGGCAGCAGACCCCAGGGGCTTCTCAGGTGCAACTCAGGCCTCTCCTGTCTTGGTGATCTAACAGCACAGGAGTAGCGCTGCCCAGCAGGGTCCCCGTGGCCCCCCAGCCAGGGTCCAATAGCCTATCGTGTGCCTTTCAGTATGAATCCAAGAAGCGTGTGTCAGCAGAGGGGGCCCTGAGCCACGCCTACTTCCGGTCTCTGGGCGAGCGTGTGCACCAGCTGGAAGACAGTAAGTGGAATCAAGGCAAGGGTGCAGCTGGTATGGGCAATAGAGCCAGAGTGAAGAGGCCAGGCCCCTTGGGCTTCCGCTCCTCTGGTTCTCGTTTGTAGATAAGGGGATCTGAGATGCTGGCCTGAAGGGCTCAGTAAGGTCCCCCTGGGCCAGTCCTAATTAAAGAGGTCCCAGTCAGGGGGTGCCCGCAACTCCACGCACTCAGTTGGTGTGGGAGCAGCAGGTCCCCAAGCACAGCCCCACCCCCGACCTTCCCCGCCTTTCTCCTCTCCCCACCCCAGCTGCTCCCATCTTCTCCCTGAAGGAGATCCAGCTCCAGAAGGACCCAGGCTACCGGGGCCTTGCCTTCCATCAGCCAGGTAGGGGCATGTGCCTCCTCCGCCCTGCTCCTGAGGAAAGGAGGCCAGGAGGAAACTCCTTCTGGGGTCCCGTGGGGCCTGGGCCTGTGGGGGCCTGTGGGGCCTAGCAGCCCCTCCTGTGATGGGAATCAGCAGGGCTCCCCACCCTGGCCTCCCTCCAGGGCCCATGGGAGAAGGGCCGCTCTCCCTGTCTCCTGCCCAGGCCTCCTCCTCCTGCCTTGCCCTCCTTAACACCTCCCCCGCCCACAGAGCTCTGTGTCTGGTGGTCCTGACAAAGGTGCATGCTCTCTCTGCAAACCCGGGGCTCCTAAGTAGCTGCATCCTGAGAGAACTGTCCTTTGTCTTTGGAACGCTGATTGCCTCCGAGGCAAGAAGTGCTTTCCACATTACCTCACTGAGTCCTAAAATACCTCTTGAAGTTGGTAGTGTCAGTGCTCCCATTTCACAGTCCGTGAAACTAAGGCTCTGAGAGGCTGAGTCACAATTTCACCAAGTGAGGAAGTGGCAGAGACGGGATTTGAGCCCCGGACTGGCTCCAGAGTGCTGGCCCTTGCCCAGTGTCCCAGAGTAACTGCTCTGGGTGACACCCGTCACTCCCAATTTCGGCACCCCCACCCCTACCCCAGCCCAGACAACCCCCGCGGCCCCACCTTTTCCCTCTGTTCCCCAGGACGAGGGAAGAGCCGGCGGCAGAGCATCTTCTGAGCCGAGCGCCCTGCTGCGGCCGAGGGGTGAGGGGTCACACCGAGCACAGCGGGAGGATGGGGCCTGTGCTGCCTCAGAAGACTGAGCCACGAGGGCCGACGGCCGCCCAGAAGGCAGCGTGGCAGCCCTGCTGGCCACGGCTGTTCCTGTCCCTGCTTCCCACATGCCTTCCGTGACCTTCGTCTGGGCACCAACCCCTCCATCACCTGCCCTGGGGCTGGGCACAAGCTGCTTCCCTGGCAGGAGGTGAGGGGCAGCGGTGACCCTTTCCCACCCTGATGTGCTTGGGCAGCAGCGTGGGACCCACACGGACAGAGAATGCAGGTGCCAGGCTGAGCACTGTGCCCAGACGGGCACCACCGTGCCTCCCCTCCCCACCACCTTCTTCCCCTCTGAAGGCAAAGGGACGTGGCACCTCCTCTGGGTCCCGGAATCCTGGGTGCCAATGTGTGTGCCAAATCCCACCCCTCACCTGAGGGGCTGGTGTTCCCAAAGCACCCGAAGAAATGGTAGCCCCATCCCTCTTCTCACCATGCCCAGCCTGCTCCCCTTGCCCCCAACTTGCCAGAGGCCCCACACATCCTTGAACCAAGGCTGGGTGGCATTGGAATGGTGACAGATGCCCAGCTGGACCCAGCGGTAGTCCGGTCCTGCCAGCTGCACCTACAGCCCCTGTCCTATCCCCCCAGTCTGAATGGAATTGCCTTAAGTCAGCGGGTGGTGGAGAGCTCCTTGCCCTTGAAGCTCTGACCGAGCTCCTGCCTGTCCCCCCTTCCCAAGAGTGACTTCTGCTTATCACCCCTGAGCTCTGATAAGCCAGCCCTGGGTCAGGGGCCTGGGGACAGTCCCCAGATATGCAAGGGTCACCCTGACGCTGGTGACAGGCCACCTCGGCTCCTGGGGACTGGCGCAGCCTCCCCCGCCCCGCCCCCCGTCCCTGTGGGCCTGTCCTTGCTCCACCTGAGGCTGGCACAGCCCCCCTCTCCCCAGGGATGGTCACGAGAGGGAGAGCAATCACAGGCCTGGGTGCCAGTACCACAGTCTGAGGTGCAGGAGGTGGTAGGAGCAGCCTCAGTCCTGTGAGCCCAGCCCAGGGCTGGGAGGCTGAGGGGCCACAGCCCCGAAGAAGGCACCCCTCACTGCCCCTACCCAGTAAGCTGTTGTACCCCAAGGTCTCCTCAGCACTTGGCTGAATATCAAGTGGCAGAGGCCAAGGGGAGGCCAGGCCTCACCTTTCTACACAAGCCTCCTGCCCGGAGCAACCTCCTCGGCCTGGGGAGACTCCCCGCCCCAGCAGCCCCTTGGCTTCTCCCCCAACCCCCAAGGCCTCCCTCCATCCCTCCCCCACTGTACTGTGAATGTCCTGTGACTCAGTGCCAAGACAGATAATATATTTAATTCATGTTGTATGGAAGAAGCGAGCAGTCTCATGCGGAAAAGCTGACTGGACAGACTGATGCCAAAGACGAGGGGTCAGGGCCCTCTCCAGGCCTGAAGAGCATGGGTGGGGCTGGCTCCCATATATGTACATAAAGTCACGAGACAGTTTGATTTGTGTGTGTCTCTGAGCCCACTTTAGCTGTGGGAGGGTGGCCTGCCCCTCCCCGATGTCTCCTGGATCTGCTGAGTTCAGAGGCAGAAGAAAGCTGTTGGCCTAGAGGAGTTGGAGGAGATGCAGTCTGGCTGGCTGTGCTCTGCGTCCTGGTCTCAGCTGGCCAGGAGATGAAACGGGAGGCTCTGGGTTCTAGCTGCTGCTGCTTCTCCCTGTGGCCCCCTACCCAAATGGCTCCCAGTCTTCCTGGGAGGATTTTTAAAAGGCCAAAGCCAGGGCAGCAGATCTGGGATACCAAAAAATACACACTGCTATTGATTCTGACTAATGGCAACCCCATGTGTGTCAGAGTAGAACTGTGCTCCATGGGGTTTTCAATGGCTGATATTTCGAAAGTAGATTGCCAGGCCCTTCTTCCAGGGCTCCTCTGGGTGGACTTGAACCTACAACCTTTCAGTTAGCAGCCGAGCACATTAAACATGTACACCACCCAACCTCACTGTAATTCTGGCCCAGCATTTAATTCCTGTTGTTGGTGGTGCCGTGGAGTCAGTTCCGACTCAGTGACCCTATGTACCAGAGAACAAAATACTGCCCAGTCCTGCACCATCCTCACAATCTTCGTTATGCTTGAGCCCATTGCTGCAGCCACTGTGTCAGTCCATCTTGTTGAGGATCTTCCTCTTTTTCGCTGACCTTCTATTTACCAACCATGATGTCCTTCTCCAGGAGCTGGTCCCTCCTGATAATATGTCAAAAGTACACGAGACGAAGTCTCACCATCCTCACTTCTAAGGAGCATTCTCACTATAGTTCTTCTAAGATAAATTTGTTCATTCTTTTGGCAGTCCACGGTATATTCAATATTCTTGGCCAACATCATAATTCAAAGGCGTCAGTTCTTTTTCAATCTTCTTATCTATTGTCTAGCTTTCGCATGCATATGGGTGATTGAAAACGCCATGGCTTGGGTCAGGCGCACCTTAGTTCCCAAAGTGACATCTTTGCCTTTTAACACCTTAAAAGAAGTCTTTTGCAGCAGATTTGCCCAATGCAGTGCGTTGTTTGATTTCTTGACTGTTGCTTCCATGGGTGTTGATTGTGGATTCAAGTAAAATGAAATCCTTGATAACTTCCATCTTTTCTCCATTTATCGTGATGTTGCTTATTGGTCCAGTTATGTTGCTTATTGGTCCAGTTATGTTGCTTATTGGTCCAGTTAATGAGTCCTCCTCCAATACTGATGCCATGTTCTTCATGTAATCCAGCTTCTTGGATTATTTGCTCAGCATACAGATTGAATAAGTATGGTGAAAGGATACAACTCTGACACACACCTTTCTTGATTTTAAACCACGCAGTATCCTCTTATTCTGTTCAAACGAATGCCTGTTGGTCTACCTACAGGTTCTCATGAGAACAATTAAGTGTTCTGGAATTCCCATTCTTCGCAATGTTATCCATAATTTGTTACGATCCACACAGTCAAATGTCTTTGCATAGTCAATAAAACCACAGGTAAACATCTTTCTGGTAGTCTCTGCTTTCAGCTAGTATCCATTTGACATCAGCAATGATATCCCTTATCCCGTGTCCTCTTCTGAATCTGGCTTGAATTTCTGGCAGTTCCCTGTTGATATACTGCTGCAACCATTTTTTAATTATCTTCAGCAAAAATTTACTTGTGTGTGATACTAATGATACCGTTAGATAATTTCTGCAAACCTGCCCACCGTGGGTGACCCTGCTGGTATTCAAAATACCGGTGACATAGCTTTCAGCATCACAGCAACACACAAGCCACCACAGTATGACAAACTGACAGACAGGTGGTGGATTTAATTCCTACAAACCTTGAATTCACTCCCTTTTGCTCCCCAAACCACCTCCACCTTGGTGTTGTACACAACTGCCTCTCAAACACATCTCCCAACATTCTCTATCCTGCTCTGTTTTCCAATTCAACATCCAGGTTTGTCCCCGCCCCCAGGCCATGTCTCCTGGCCCTTACCTGTCCAATGGTCTCATTGCTGGCCTTAAGAACTTTCTAGTTTGCTGGCATATTTAGGGGGGTTGTTGCTTTCCGGAAGAGGAAGCTAATGTTAAGAGGTGGGGTGGTGTCTCCCCAGGCCATATTAGAAGTAAGGGGTGGACCAGGGCTTGATTTTCAGCCCAGCACCGATTCCACCAGACTGGACCCCGCACCTCTTTGCAGGCATCCAGACATCCAACTGTGGGACAATGAGTCCAGTGAGCAATCAGTTCTTGGTGGGAGAGGAGGGCCTAGAGATGCACTGGTGCAAATTGGTGCCTTTTAAGCTGAGCTTGGAAGGAGACAGGGCCTAACCTTTATTAAGCTCCCTAGTGTGTTCCAGGCACTGTGCTTGGAGCATCGTCTCATTGAATCCTCACAGCAACCCCATTTCTCCCCATTTCTCCGATGAGATAAACGAGGCTTCCAGAGGTTAAATGACTTGCCCGAGACACAGCAAATTAGAACTCGAGGTGTGTCTGTCACCCCAGCCCTTGACCTTCAAGGAAGACAAGGAGTAGATAGAGAACAGGGGAGGTGTAGACTGTACAGAGCCCCAGGAGCCTGGGTAACAAGCCACGGGGCAGAACCTGCGGGTGAACTCCCAGACCACCGTCACCAAGGCAGGGTGGCCTGCCAGCTTGCAGGGGCTCCTGGGGCAGGTGTTCTGGGTCCTGTGTGGAGGCACACATCTTGGGATGGGGCTTCTGAGGTCTGTGTGGTGCATCAAAGCGCTCTGCCTGTGCCCTGCTGTTGGGCAGGGGCTCAGCTGGATGGGCACCACCAGGCCTTGTGTGTAGTCATATTGGTTTCCTGCTATAGCAAATTCCACGAGGTGGGAGACTTAAAGCAACAGAAATGTATTGTCCCACAGTTCTGGAGGCTAGAAGTCTAAAACCAAGGTGTCAGTCAGCAGGGCCGCGCTCTCTGAAGGCTCTGAGAAACAATCTGTTCTGTGCCTTCCGCTTCTGGTGTGGCCAGCAACCCTTGGCGTTCCTTAGCTTGTAGATGCATCACTCCAATCTCTGCTTCTCTCATCACGTGGCGTTCTCCCTGTGTGTCTGTGTCTCTTCTCCTCTTATAAGGACACCAGTCACACTGGATTACGGCCACCTTACTGACCTCATCATCTTTATTTGATTTCATCTGCAAAGATCCTATTTCCAGATTAGGTCATGCTCACAGGAACAGGGGTTAGGACTTTAGCATTTTTAGGGGACGGGGGACAAAACTGAACCCATAACAGTGCTCAAGGGCTTTCTGTGAAAAAATGGTGGCTCTGGAGAAGGAAGCTGGATTCAGGAGCAGAGAGAGGCTGAGTGACTTTGGTTATGAGCTGCCAGAGCAGAAGGGCTGCAGAAGCTGCCACCAGGCTCCCTGGTCACCAGATAGCCACAACACAGGGCCATGGCCTGGACCCTCTGCTTCCTGGTTACACCCTACAATCATTACCTTACACCTTATGTATGGCTCCGCCAACAGCAGCCTGCCCCGTTCTGCTGGAATCA